GCTTCACCAACATTGGGGGGGGGTATGCAAAATTGACTTTTTTGAGCTTTACGTCTTGTGAAAATGTCTTTCCCTCATCAAAAACATACCCAGAGTGTTGCTTTGACTCATGCATGTTTGAGAAATCTTTGAACCTCCTGTTTTAGCCATGTGGAGCTGCCTAAACGCTTGCTGGTACAAAGCACCGCCTCTTTGTACAAAGCTCCTCCCTGGAGCTCAGTCTGCAGCTGAGCTCCCACCTCACAGAGCACCCCTCCACTGAAGCACTGAAGTGGGAGTGTTAGAAATGGTAGGAGGTTAGGACAATTTTAGAGGCATTTAGGCTATGATGCAAAGTCAAATTTATTTTTGATATTTACAGCATGGACCAACTGGAGGTTACAAAGTTACTTGATTGTGGTATAGAATTTAACAATATACCTGAAAACACAAAATACCCCCTTTTTTTCTACACAAAGATCTTAGACAATCTGTTAGTACTTACATAAATTTGGACAACATTCAGCAACCACCACATCACATTTTAGCTCYATATCTGTAAAATGACTGCGTTATAGCCACTTTGATATTAGCTAAGCTTGATTAGCTGTGGCAGCCATCTTGAATTKGGTTGATTRCTTGTATACATCAATCCAGTAATTACTTACAGAGAATTTCATTGAAATCTGTTCATTGGTTTGTGAGATATTTTGCTAACAGACAAYCACYCTCTTTCTCCTTCAGCAGTGAMTGTTAAAGAMCCTGTGACGTCATTTTTTGTAATAAATATYAATGCATTTTTGTAAAGATAACAATMATAACATGTTGCAAAACAATTCACACCACTGAAATGAACAGTTATTGGGAATATTTGCATGTGAACTGACAGGAAGTGATGTCAAAAGGGAATGTCTGAACAGAGAATTGAAACATCTGACAACTCAGACAATCATTTCGAGTCACAATCAGAGAGAGAAGAAAAAAAGTCTCACTAATATTGTTTCACCAAACAAAGACCAGAGATTTCCTTTTCTTAAAGAGTTCACATTTGATATCACTTCCTGTTCTGCTTTGGCTGAGCCATATTCAAAAGAAAATATTCCAGTTATGAGACAAAATGGGTAAAATCACGTGTATTATGCCAAGTTTCGTAAATATAAAAATGTTTTCCTTGACCTTTTTAATTTGAAGGATATGCATGTCACAGGAACACCATCAAACCTGTAATTAATCAGTTGTAGGTAGTTGTAGCCCAGTGAGTCTTGTTACTGTCAGTGCTCTGATTATATGAAGGTGGGTGATAATATGTGTTGGTTTGTTCTACTGAATTGACATTTATTGTTGTAATCACAAGTTATCTTGCATAACCACTAACATTTTAATTAATTTTTATGTTCTTTCTCTTTAAAGACCCCATTGTGTTGGCAGTATGGCCCTTCTCAACTATCCTGTTCCAGAGTTGGACGCAACGCTGAAAGAAGTGAGCCGTGTTCTACAGCTCACCCTGAGCCCAGATCTGTACCTGGAGTTCAAAAGCACACTGGAACAGCAGAGGAAAGTCCTTGAAGAGGCTCAGCAGAAACTAAAAGTCATTATCACAGGCAAAGAAAACTGGGTGACTCAACAGTTCAAGAGAGGTTTGTTGTCCTGTGCAGACCCCCTGCCTACATCCACTGCACTCCCTGTTGTTCTTCTGCCGCCTAAAGCAAAGGGAAGTACCCAGCTGGGGAGGGCAGCAGCTCTGCTCTGGGCAGCAGCAAAGCTGTACAGTGAGCCCCTCTTGCTGGAGGGCAACGTTCCCATGGAGCAAACTCAGCAGTCAGAGGTCTTTGCTGCCACCCGGATTCCTGGCAGAAGTCAAGATGAAATTAAGGTGAGGTCATTGCCAGAACACAACAGGCATTAAATTCACCTTACCCTGACACACTATTGTCATGTTCATCCAAGCACTTTACCAGCCTGTGGCTTTCGCATTCACAGGTCTACCCAAACAGTCTTCATGCCATCATCACCTGTGTTGGTGGTGTGTTTACTGTTGACATACTGTGTCGTCCCAGCGCTGATGGACCAGTGTCTGCATGCCCTTTCATAGACATCTACAACCAATTAGTCGAGGTGATGGATCAGTCCAGAGCAGGGAAGCAGGGCGATCCCTCTCTCGTTTGCAGTCTCTCCGCTCTGGAGCGCAAGTCCTGGGCTGCATTCAGGGAAGAGATCCAAAAACAAGGAGGAGAAGCTTCAGCGTCTCTGGAGTTAATGGAGAGCGCTATTCTCACACTCTGCCTGGAAGACTGCAACGCACCATCGGAACTGGCTGATGTCCTGAATGCAGTCAGGCTTGGTGGAGAAGGAGGGAAACCGTGTTTGAGATATTACGACAAGGTAAATGAATTTGGGAGAGTACGTTAGAGAGGCCAGACTACGAGGTGTTTTTTGTGAATGGGCTTGTGCTATAAACAACWGCGAATATTTGTCACATTTAGCTTCAAACAATGTTTGAAAAAGTAGTGTGGAGTCAGCTTTTAGAACATTTAAATTGTATGCTAAATGATAAATCTAAATGCTAAATATAAATTTAAATATTAAATGTTCAATCTAAATGTTTTGCTGAAATTTTATATTCAGATAATATGCAAATTTACGTTGCCTATAACCAAAGGTACCAAAATAAAAGTTCAACTGTGTTTGTAGATTATGTCTCCTAACATGTTTCTGTGAATGTTTTTCTAGACATTTACTGTCACTATAATTATCATAATATACTGTAGATTCCCTCAGTAAGTTCCTTCATGAGATTTTTTTATTATATAAACTTAATCAAGCTTTTATTTTGGTATTTTTATGGTTACATGCAGTGGCTGTTTGCATATTACCTAAATATTTAGTTTCAGAAAAAACATTTAGCATTTAGATTGAACATTTAGTATTTATATTTATATTTAGAATGAAGATTTAACTATTTAAACATGCCAAAAGACAACTTTAGAAAATCCACACTACTTTTTCAAACACTGAAGCTTAATGTGACAACATTTCATTGTTATTTTTATAAGAGTGGGAAGAGGCGGTATATCTGTCACTGAAAATACCAATAGACGAAACATATTACAGTTGTAGGTAATAAAGCTTGAAATACAGAATATGTGAATTATTTCAAAAGATTGAAAGTACCAGTGTGATGTCATATTTTTAGTTTTAGTTTGAAAGTCTGCAATCCTTGTTGAGGTTTGAAGAGCAAAGTAGCCAAAATTAATTTATTGATATGTTTTTTTTTGCAGGTAATAAACCTGGTTGTCTTCAAAGATGGCACAGCTGGGATGGTGTATGAGCACAGTGCAGTGGATGGGATGGTAGCAGCTCTTGTGACTGAACGTGTGTACCATCTGTCTGAGACTGTTGATCTAAACCTTGCCATTCATGATGCAGAAAATACCAAGTGTCACTCAGTAAACAGTGCTAAATCTGATAGCCCACATGCCTTAACCTTTTCTTTGCAAGGGCCTCCCAGACCAAGACCTGAATTAACAGCAAACCAACTAGTCCTCACTTTTGACCTGCCTTCTTATCCAGATGTATTTTCTACTCTCAGAGGGCAGAGGGGCCTGTATGATGCTTGGATCAACTTCTCTTTGCAGCTCTCCCTGAGGCAGACTCTTGGAGAATCGGCAGCCAGTCACATGCTTGTCACACCAACCCATATGCGGCACTACAAACACGGTCGTTGTGATCCCACGTACTCGCTCACCGTTCATTCTCTTGATTTAATTAATGTCTTGTCATCTTGCATTGGTCCAGATAACACAATTCAGTACACAAATGAGTTACTTCAGTTGTTCCATGTTGCATTTTTGGAGCACAAGAATCTCATTAGAAACACCAAAAATGGCCAAGGTGTAGGTCCCCACTTGGCTGCCCTGCGTCGATCTTTGCCATCTGACAATCCATTAAAGAGATTCCTGGACCCTTTTGGATGTCCATCAGTGTACCTCACAGGTGTGGATTTGATGGAAGGTGTGGAGTGTGGTGTAGGAAATGTTTATGCCCAAGACCAGCTAGCTGTATCCTACCTTGGAAAGACAGACAAGGTACGCATTATACTCAATGGAAAAGGAACCTTTGCAGTATCTCTGGAGAAGCTTATGGAAAACCTCAAGATMAATTTAAAATTGGTGATGGTTCTCGCTGTTAGATATGCCATTGCAAGCCAGATGGGAGCACTGGAGTGTCTGTTCAAACAGGGCCAGACAGAGGAGAAGATTGACGCTACATCTGACATGGACTCAAACTACACCTTGGTGATTCATGGTGGTGCTGGAGAGGAGATGATGCTGAACAACCAAGTGGCAAAAATGATTGAGTTCGCTCTACAAACAGCTTTGACAGTTGGGTCCAAAGCACTCCAAAAGGGGGGCAGTAGTTTGGATGCTGTTCAGAGGTCAGTGGAAGCTTTAGAGGACTGCTTCCTGTTCAACGCAGGCAAAGGTTCAGTTTTTAACAAAGACGGCAAAAATGAAATGGAGGCAGCTATTGTAGATGGGAATGGGACAAGGTCTGGATCTGTTGCTTGTGTGAGAAACATAAAAAACCCAATCAAAGCAGCCAGGTGTGTAATGGAGAGGAGTTCCCATTCACTGCTTGTGGGAGAAGGAGCTGAAGAGTTTTACCAAYGGTTGGATGAGAAAGAAAAGCCTGTTGGGCCAGAGTATTTCTACACTGACATACGTCACAAAGAGTTAATTGTGAAACTCTGTGGTAGAAATACCTCAAAAAACAATCACCCTCAGACAGTTGGAGCTGTGGCCTTGGATCGTTGGAATGGATTGGCTGCTGCATCCTCCACAGGTGGGCTGGTGGGAAAGCTGAAAGGGCGAGTTGGGGACACTGCAGTTGTGGGGGCAGGAATATATGCTGATGACAAGGTAGCAATCACTTGCTCTGGAGATGGGGATGTTTTTTTGAGGAACACTGTGGCACAGAAAATAGCCAGTCTGTACCACAACAAAGGCTATACCCTTCGGCAAGCATGCAGGGAAGTGATGGCTGAAAACCTGAAAGGCACGTGTGCAGGAATCGTAGCTGTGGACAAAAAAGGTGATGCTATTATTGAAACAAATGCTGGTGTGATGTTTGTGGCCTCAATGATTGGTGGGATTTCACGGGTAGAGGTTCTCAGGCCCATGACAAACTTCTCTAATGTGATCTGGGAAACTGAAGAGCTTGTTGCCTTTCTGAACCCCAACCCCTGGACCCCTGGATCAACCATTGTGACAAGAAAAACTCTTAGTGGGGCAAGTAGCATTTTCCAGCTGCCTAAACCTGACTTTGTTGCCATGCTACAGGGGGCAAAGGTCGTATCAAAATTGCTGTGTAAGCAACTGGAGGTGCAGCGTTGTGCCTTGGTTTTCAATCCAACTCTTGATAAACCAGCAGAAATTAGACTGCTCCCACTTCATGGTTTAGAGGCAAAGTGGGAGCCCCACCTTGCTCATGATGAAGAGTTCTATGGTCACTGTCCTGGTTTCTGTACCTCAAAAAATGGTCCACGTTGGGATGAGGATAAGCTGTCCCAGGTTCAGGCCAACATCAGGAATTCACTGCCAACACCGAATGCACCTTGTTGCTTTGACTATTTTGGTGATCCCTCCAATGATGAAAACCTGTTTAGCCAGATTATAAGTGGAAAGCAGAAACAGTGGAGAGTGTGGGAAGACAGTGAGCATGTTGCCTTCTTAACACCATATCCCAACAGACCAGGGTTAACAGTTGTGGTGCCACGCAAAGCACTGACCAGCGATATCTTCAGATTGGATGATACTGACTACAACGCGCTGATCTTAGCCACTTATAATGTTGCTCAGCTACTGCAAAAAGGAATGAAAGCTCAAAATGTTGCAATGATCTTTGAGGGGTTTGAGATTGACCATGCCCACGCTAAACTGGTCCCTCAGTTGCATTCTCCGGATATCATTAAAACCTCTGAGCCAGAGTTTTTTGAAAGCTATCCTGGTTTTGTGTCATCACTGGATGGTCCACCTGCCGACTCTGAAACCCTCAAAACCATCCATGCAAAAATCATCCAGAGCAGAGCTCCTCGTTCATGGGAAGATCCTCACTCTCATTCCACACTTGCCATCACAAACCAATGGTATCGCAACCTGTTCCAGATCCAGAACACTTTATTCCACAGCACGGTGGAATTTTTCCACAGCTGCTGCCAGTACTCTTATGCTCTGACCCCTCTCACAACAGACACCATTTCTTCACCAATGGGTCTGGGATCTGACTCAGAACCAGTGTCTGTCCATCTGCTAGGACAAGATATATACCTGGCCGACTCTATGCAGTTTGTACTTGAATACTTCCTTCGCTTTCAGGAGAACCTACCTGGGACCTACTACATATCTCCTAGCTTTAGAGGAGAAGATCCAGATGCCACTCACTTGAACCAGTTCTACCATGTTGAGTGTGAAATGTTGGGTGACATGGACAATGCCATTMCCATTGCAGAGGGATACTTGGTGCATCTTACCAAGTCCATGTTGAAAAACCACTCAAACATAATCCTGAACACTGCTGGAAGCCTGACACACGCCACAGCCCTGCTGAGTAAAATGGATGAAAAAATCTCTCTTCCAAGAATCACCCTAGATGAGGCCATTTCTGTGATGCCCTCTGCTGACTGTTTCGAATGGGTACAAGATGGCCAGCCACATTTTGGGAGAAAGCTAACTCGCAAAGGAGAGCGTGTTTTGATAGATAAGTATGGCGGCGCTGTTTGGCTAACTGAGATGGATCACCTAGGAGTTCCTTTCTACCAGGCGTATGTGGAGGGCACGGGGCGAAGCAAAGCCAAAGCAGCTGACCTATTGCTGYGACTGGGTGAAACTTTGGGTCTTGGGGAACGCCATCCCACCCCTGAGATGGTACAAGAAGCCCTGAAGCATCATGCAGTGCCAGAGGAGACCTATAAGTGGTACACTAGCATGCGCCAAGTGAAGCCCCTCCTCACTAGTGGATGGGGCATGGGGACGGAGCGCTACTTGTGCTGGCTGCTTCAGCATAACGATGTTAGAGATGTGCAAATCATACCGAGGATGAAAGGAGTGAAGTACATGCCCTGAGAAGAAGACCTGCTCTGTCTTTTAGGCCATTAGATTTGATGTTTATGTAGTAAACAGGCCAAAGGACTGTAGAGTCTGAGCTTACAAAGACATCAGTGATGTTCAAAATGTAACTTTGATCCAAATCTGAATTTCTAAACATAATGTACTTACCTAACCAGAACACTGCTGTAGCTTTTATTTGCAGATAACTTTAGAAAAGTAAATGCAGTATATTTGATACACCAAAGAGTAACTTGGTGAACTGGTGAACAAAAAAATATGTGAAAATTCATTCAAACTGCTTTTACATTTATTTCTGTGAGCCTGAATATTAATCTTGGAAACAAATACTTTGCAAGATTTTTTTTTGTAAGTTGCTAGAAAAGTGACGTGTTTAATGAAACTTAAACTTAAAGAAGCATTTGTGTTCAGTTTTTCGGGGATTATTCTGATTTATTTTAATTTTTTACTCAGTTTAACTC